AGAGAGAGAGAGAGAGAGAGGGGGGCGGTGCCTAATCCGGTGTACTCGAAATGAGAAGCATTCTCGAGTATCGTTATACTGTTTTTGCTCCCTTGAATCCACGAGATGCAATTAGAGGTCTCGCTCAAGAAGGGTAACGTAAGAGAGGTGGGCTTGACTTTCTCCTATCGTTGCACCGTGTTTTTCCAATTTTCTACACAGAGAAGAACTTGTCTTCCGTACACGCTTTGCATTATTCATGCCGGCCTACTTGTACGTGCAGCAGTTTTCGGGGTAAATTCTTTTGCCTTCTGATGGTTATCATAGCCGCGGCGCATTAATACTGCATCCGTCATGCGCATCGGTTTTACTCGCATATATAACTGTGTGTATGTGTGCACCTCGTGACTGGGGCAGCACGCGGGCGACACTTCGCTCTTTCGATTCAGGTCCCTCATTCACGGATATAAGCTCCGGTATCGGCCACCGTAATGGCGCCCGCTAATGAATACCAACGGTGGAATTAAATCGAATTGTTTGAGGAACAATTGCGCTTATATAACCACAAAATATTCGACGAAGACGGTAATGAAAAAAACTGCTCCCTCCCTTCCCCCCTTCTCCCACTGAAAATAAGTGAAAAATGAATTTCAGCGAAATATCGTAAAAAAATATCCATCGGGGTAATCATTCATGCCTGGAAAAATACGAAATGCCCGATTTCATCCAGCTTTTTTGTAAATGAGACACAGTAAAACGCGCCGGCGTGCGCGCGCGTAACTTGCCCGGAATGAAATATTAACTTCGCAAAAAAAAAAAAAAAAAAAATTCCCATTACTCAACGCGGAGTTTTCTCTATAAAGCGTAATCGCGTGAGTCTTCATCATTAAATCGCTTTTCGTTTTCGATTGAAGAATCGTTTTTTAACCACGCCGCGCGCGCTGCGGGATAGTGATTCTCGGGGAAAGACATGCAAATCATAATTTCACATTATCTACTTCTCCACCGTATTCACCGTAAGGTAGAAAATACACTTTCAAGACTCGTAATTTAATTTAACTTTGAAAAAATACCGCGCGCGGCATTACCGCTCTTTCGCGCTCGGATTTTAATGAATGTATCATGCATTAATTGAACAAAAGTAAGTCACACGCACGGGCACGCACGCACACACACACATACACCTGATTTCGAGTGGATATTAATTATCGGCTGACGAGGATATCTAATATCGTCCATAATGTGCAAACTGCAACGGACAGTGCGGATTGAATGACGGATAGTAAAGCGAACGGCGAGATTGTACGTGACTTGGTTTCTCGGTGGAATAAATGAGCGGGGGTTCCCCCCCTCTCGCCGCGCGCGAGGTTATACGAACTAAACCGGACGTACCGATCTCCAACAATCGTTGGAATATGTTCGCGTATCTACTCCGCGCCGATATTACAACCCAATTTCCTGAATTCCTATTATGACGTGCCCAGTTTTGCACGGTTATATTCCGCGGGCGGAGAGCGCAACGAGAAACGCGGGAATTCACGGCGCGAAATCCCGTTAACTCGCTGATAACGATCCCGTTATCAACTCGAACGAGCTTCGACGTGCGACTAAAAATACATCCGTCCGGCCTTAAATCGGGAAGCTTATGCTTCCTAATGCACTCGGTGAAGTTCAGTTCGGAGTTACTTCATTCTGACATACTCTCTCTCCCTTCTTCCCTCCCTCCTTCCGCTCCAGTTTCCCCCTCCCCTTTCTCTCTCTCCCCCTCTCTCTCTCTCTCTGCAGTTCAGTTTTAACAACTCTCTTTTATGTTATCGCATTCCGGCGATAGTCGGGCGTGTGTTCACGGGAATGATAATCAGCCGGATATATTCCGTTTGATCTGTTTTTTTTTCAATCGTTTTCAATCCTACGAATATACGATACGATTTTGCATCAAGTATTTATTTCGCAGTACTTTATGAATTCTCATGCCGACAGCGAGATTATAATATTAACTGTCGGACGATTCGCAAACACTTCCCGTCAAGCTCCTCGACAACATTTTAATCCTTCATATGACGTTTCACCGACGTTGGATTACGTTTTTATTAAAGACTAATGAACGCACCTTTGTCCACGTTACCTTAATAAGTTCTCGGAAAGGGATTCACCGTTTAGGATTAGAAGAATGGATGGAGAGCAGAGGAAGAGACAAGGAAAAGCAAATTGTATAATAAATCTGCGATACTTGGTGTCTGTGAAGTTAGCACATTTTGTTAATTTTTAAAAAACAATAATCTTTCCAGTAGCACTTT